CTTCTGGCAGTCTGCCCCAGGGCAGCTGTGGCTACAACTGTGGTTTGCCTGCACCAGTGTGTGAATGTGAGAGTGAATGAATAGTGGAATTGTAAAACACTTTGGGTGCCTAGAAAAGCGCTATATAAATGCCATCCATTATTATTAATAATTTTTAGATCTCTTTGCAATCATCTACAGTGCAGGAGACTGTCAGTATCTTTTTTTAAAATCCTTACTACAGCCCTGTCAAATCGTAATGCAGACAATTCAAAAGCGTCCTTCCCTGTCGAGACGCGCATAAGTGATGGTGAAAGCCTACATGAGGTGATTAAAGATATTTAACAGCTTTAATGTAAAAAGGTTCCTATCAGCCTCTGAAAACCTGTACTTGTAGAGCAATGACAGCATGAAGGAAAGCTCATAGTGCGTGTGGCGATACTGGTAATAGAGTCGGCTTGTCGGACAGGCAGGACAGGATAATGGTTCGATAAAGATTACAAAGAGGAGGGGAGTCAGAGGACACCCCTGTCTCGCCTCACAGCTGAGCACAAAAGGATATTTGGCTGAGAGTAATTATAGAAGCTCATGGAGAGTCACAGAGGGTTTGAATTCAGCAGGTGAAGCCTGGTCCGAACGCTGCCATCGAGTAAATCTTTATTATCTCTGAAGGGCAATTTGTTGTGCTGCCAGTGGTCAATTAGGATCAAAAAGCACATATGTAAGAAAGAGCGAGAAAAGAGAGCAGGGCAGTGCCATCGATGCGGTTTCAAAGGCATCAGACACTCGGAGGAGAAAATTCTTCTTTTCATGTGAAATTAAGGTTTATTCACATACATTCAACCAATATAACATGTTTTTGCATCAGAGAAACTCCGAATGTCAAACATACATCCCCCTAAAGTTTAAAATGTTCACATATGAGCAGCAGCTGTGGTCAGCCTGACTTCAGCTACAGTGGCTTGCTCCGATGAAAAAGAAATAAAAAGAAAAACTTACATATGTTCATTATCCAAAGGAAATAACTATTTCACCAATTTCCTCTGTAATTTTGGGGCCTCAAAGATGGATGATGGGCGGATGCAGAATTACCTCTGTGTTCATTACAACTACCAGACGTACTTTAGTGCCTAGCTGAGATGCATTCGCAGTGTTTGTTTCTCTTGTATTACTTCACGTACTACTCTTTTTTGCTTCTTTACATTAACAAACAGACTGGTCACGTTTAAGGAAGATATGCCACTGAGCAAAATATGCTTATTCTCTTTCCTCCCTGGGATAAAAAGATTGATAATATTTTCATATTTGCTGATAAGGTGTAAGACAAGCTTTAAGCGTACCAGGCAGAATGAACGCAGCTAGCCTGCCTCTGACTACAGATAAAAAGGAAACAAATGCAAACACCTCAAGTTCACTATAATATATTTTATATTTCATTTGTAAAATACAGAGTTTGAAAACACAGCACAGAAGCCTGAGAACTATTCCTGAAGACTACTTGAAGAAAGTACATGGAAGCTGCGTAAGAGGTTTCAGCTGTTTTTGCTTTATATATTGTATTTCCATGTATGCTTGCACATATTTCCATAAATGTCTGTTCAAATATCCCAACCAAAATTATACTTAACATTATGTTTATTAACGTAATAAACTACTAATATACTGATCCACAGGACCTGAGACTGAAATGTAACCCTCCATGTTTTCTTTCTTTTTCTTTTAACTTGTGGTTAAGTGAGGGTGCTATTAACTCTGAAATTTACACCTAAAGTTAATTTATACTTTTGGACTGTGAGATAACTCCCACAAGGGTATGATACTTACCAAATAATGACTCTGTCCGTTCTTGGCAGCTCTTGAGATATAAAAGCTAAACATTTTAACAAATGAAAGGATGAAACCTGGTTATGTAATACAGATATTGCACCTGTGCAGGCGATAACGGCTGATGACATAATGTGTCTCTCAGACCAAATGCTACATGAACACAGGTCCAATCCAGAGAGAGCGTCAGCTGGTAAAGATTCAGTTTTCTAAGTAAAGAAAACTGAATCACATAGAAAAAACTGTTTCTATGTGTTTTTCGATTAGGAAACAAAGTTCATCTGATAATTTTAAAATCAACCTAGGGAACGAAGAAATAAAGGAGGTCAAACATTTTAAGTTTTTAGGAATAATCTTAGATCCACATCTTAAATTTGACAAGCATGTAAAGAAGATCTCTAAGACGGTCAAGGCTAATCTGAATTGTTTTAAGTTAATTCGGCACTATATACCCACTTCAGTAGCTCAGTTATTTATGCATTCTATGATATTTTCTCATTTTTCATATTGTATGACAGTTTGGACCCAAGCAGCGCCATCTACAATTCAGCCTGTGGTATCCTTATATAATCAATCTTTAAAAATAATGGATAAAAAATCTGTTCGGTGGCATCACTGTCACGTTTTAAAGAAATATAAACTTAGTTTTAAGAGTTTTAATCATCTGTGTTTTCTTAAATTAGTTTTTAAATGTATAAATAGGATGGCCCCAGAGTCCATCCATCCATCCATCCGAGGCCGGGTCGCGGGGGCAGCAGCCTAAGCAAAGAGGCCCAGACCTCCCTCTCTCCAGCCACCTCCTCCAGCTTATCCAGGGGAACACCAAGGCGTTCCCAGGCCAGCCGAGAGATATAATCTCTCCAGCGTGTCCTGGGTCTGCCCCGAGGCCTCCTCCCGGTGGGACATGCCTGGAACACCTCCAAATCCTGTCCATAAAAATTATGAACAGAACCATAGACAAAGGGCAGCCCTGGCGGAGCCCATCACCCACCAGGAATGAGTCTGACTTATTGCCGGCAATGCGAACCAAGCTCTTGCAACGGTTGTATAGGGATCGAATGGCCCGTAGCAATGGGCCAGACACCCCATACTCCCGCAACACCTCCCACAGGACACCCCGAGGGACACGGTCGAATGCCTTCTCCAAGTCCACAAAACACATGTAGACTGGTTGGGCAAACTCCCATGCACCCTCAAGTATCCTTGAGAGGATAAAGAGCTGGTCCAGTGTTCCGCGACCAGGACGAAAACCGCATTGTTCCTCCTGTATCCGAGGTTCGACTAGCGGACGAACTCTCCTTTCCAGCACCCTGGCATAGACTTTCCCAGGGAGGCTGAGGAGTGTGATTTCCCTGTAGTTGAAACACACCCTCCGGTCCCCCTTCTTAAAGATGGGGACCACCACCCCGGTCTGCCAGTCCACGGGTACTGCCCCTGATCTCCACGCAACATTGCAGAGGCGTGTCAACCAGGACAGCCCTACAACGTCCAGAGCCTTCAGGAACTCGGGGCGAACCGCATCAACACCAGGGGCTCTGCCACCAAGGAGTTGTTTAACTGCCTCAGTGACCTCGCCCCCGGAAATTGGCGGGTCATTCCCCTCATCCCCAGAGTGTCTCAATACATCCAGCGACAAGATAGTATTTGTATTATTAGGAGTAAGGTGAACGGCAACTGCAAGATATTATATCGCAGATCTACATTCGGTCAGTCAGCTTTTTTTATAAAGGCCTGCCATCTGTGGAACACACTTCCAACCGATATCAAATTGATTACAGACATTAGATCTTTTACATTGAAGGTTAAAGTGTGGTTAAAGGGAAATCAAAGATGTAGTCATTTTAACTAATGATTTTAATTTTATTTAAAACTATTATCGTGTAACTGTAATTGTATTTGTGATGGAATTTGGTTTTATGAAAATGTATGTTTTATTGTAAAATGTATCTATTTAGATTGTAAGCCCAACAAGGGACAATTGTTGAAAACATTTGCAGTAGCTATAAACCTTTGTGCGGCACATCAGTTTCCTATCTTGCACTTGAACTATGTTAAACTGCACTGTCCCTTTTAAATAAATAAATTCAAACACTGTTGTCTCTCTTCCTGCCATCAGTAGTAC